AGCAGCAGCAGCAGCAGCAGCAGCAGCAGCAGCAGCAGTAGCAGCAGCAGCAGCAGTGTAATCATCTGCAGGATGAAAACCCCGCGATGCAGAGAGAAGATCATCAGTACCACCGGTGGTATGCACGTATTAGTCTATCAGCTGGGGGAAGTCCTGTGTGCATTTATATGTCCCCGCAGTTTGACGCTTGATTCATGTAGGGGACACCCCTGGGAGTAAAAAAAACTTGGGTAGACATTCTGAATCATGGGAAGGATAGGTGAAATTCAAGATGGCGTTCAAGATGGCTGTCAATTCATGTAATTGACCATAACTCGCCACCTATTTATGATAGGAGGTTGATTTTGGTGTCTATCCCTATATTTTATGGGTCAGGCTATCTATTAAAACTGATACCCGTACCGAAAATGCATTGCATCATTGTTAAATCTAAGATGGCCGCCGAAAGGGACACCGTATCATATAAACTGCTATAACTTCTTGCAGACTTATGATAGAAGGGTAATTTTCGTGTCTATCCCTATGTTTTAGGGGTCAGGTTATCCACTGAGACTAATAACCAGATTAAAAACGCTTTTCTAAAATACTATGCCCCCGAGGAAACTTTGGCATCCATCGGAAACCCGCACCAAATTACAAGATCGCCAAATCCGCATGCGCAGTCCAACCACAGTCAGGCTTTCATAATTATCAACCCCTGATAGGATAAAGCGATAGGAAGAAAGAGCTACCGGTTTTCGTTTTACTTTCGTTCTCCCCTCCCAGGCGCCCGTCATTTCTACGAAATCATAAACATTCTACACACACGGCATCACTTCGCGCCATAGACATGAAATAATCAATCGACACCGCTGGTAGCCATGAAGCGCTATCTGTAACACCCGCTGTTGACTTCGCTGTCAGTCTACTGTCAGGTACTGTTGAAATATATCATTTTAATTTTTACATTCTTGTGCGTGCGTGTGTGCTTGCTTGCGTGCGTACGTGTATGTATGTATGCATACACACACAAGTGTGCGCGCATGTGTGTGTAAATGTCGTATGTGTGTGCGTGGGTGCGCGGTTGATTGTGCGTGCGCATGCCCGCATGTGTGTGAATGTCGTGTGTGCGCGCGGGCGCGCGTGTGTGATGTGTGTGTTTATACTCCTATTGTTTGCAGATGACTCGAAATGAGTAGCATACCTCTGAAAAGGCAGCGGCCTGAAGCATTCGACATAGACATCAACAAGTGCATCATTTGTCAACAGGTAGTTACGGATTCTACATGTAGCACTCCAGCTGGCAGAAGAAAGCTTATAGAGGCAGCCCATCTTCGACAAGACGACGTTAGTAGGAGACTTGAAACAATAGATCAAGATAGGTTTGTGTACCATGTGAACAATGAATGCTATAAGTCATATACGCTCAATAAGACTCTTCTTACAGTTCGAGAAAACAAGGAAAGAGACAATGCTGAAGAAGATAGGCTAGTGGCAGTCGATGTTGATCCACAGAGCAGTCCCGTAGCCAGTCGGTCCTCAAGGGCAAGTGTTCCTCATCGTGCACCTCCGAACTGTGGTGACGTTCCTATATATAAAAGGAAGTGTATCATTTGCACACAACTTAAGTACAATAATGATACCAAAAAGTACCGAATGTGTGAGGATGAGCGAGCGAGAAAATTCCTGAAAGCCGTCGTGTATTTTCAAGATAACGTGTATTACAGAACAAGCGACCGTCAAGATGTACATTCCGTATTTGGTGCAGACATCTTCTGTCATAAGAACTGCATCCGGCGGTATCTCTTGAAATATGACAAAGCAACAAAAAACACTGAGCGATCACCCCAAACTTCTGCTAAACAGGAGGTGTTTGCGAGACTGATAGCCAAGATTGATTCGCATCTTAAAGATGGTAAAGGTTTTACCCTCAGTGACTTACGCGCACGTGCTGATGATGACCTGCCGATTGGTTCAAAGGAATCATTTTCAAACAGAGAGATCCGTTTGCAGTTGGAGAACGATTATGGCAGTGACTTAAAAATATCACTGCCTAATGAAGCCAACAAGTCAGCGATGGTCTTTTTAAACGTTACACCTGAAGAGATGGCCAATACCATACGGTCATCTGACCCAGTAGCACAATGTGCTTCGCAAATCAGGCAAGAACTTCTGGACTTGGATTTCAATCTACAGGACAGTTTCTGTGACGCAACGGACCTTCGTGAATCATGGGACAATATGGAAATTCCACCTGTTCTATTGACCTTCCTTGCTAAGTTGTTCAATTGTGATCCAAACCACTTGGCTAAAGCTGACCATGAGAACATGTGGGCTGATGATAATGACAATTCCAATGTCAAATCGTCCCCTCAAAAGGTTAGGAGAATAAAAGCCATCTTTCAAATTCTGTACTTTATAGTGAACAATGGTAGACGGAGGACACCCCTTCATTTATTGAGTGCAGAATCAATCTATTCAACATGCAAGAGCTACACGCTTATAACTGCACTAAATCATTTCGGTCTGTGTGTAAGTTATGACGAAATCCAGAGATATCAAAATGACATGGCTGAACTGGTTTCTGAATCAGCAATTGATGTACCGTTACCCAGCAACTTCTCTACTGAGATGTTTACCACGGCTGCCTTTGACAACTTCGACCATGAAGAAGCAACGATTTCGGGGATACATGGGACTCACGATACAGTATCGGTTCTATACCAAGATAAACCTTCGCCGTTACCAAAAAAGCCATCCATTTCAGAAACACAGGTAGAACATGGCCCACGGGTACCTCGGACAACACTACCATGTCAAGAGCTGAAAGAATTTCAGAAACCAGCACGTAGAGGGGACATTCCCGCGGATTATACTGCCGACACGAAGTCAAGTGACGGTAGTGTGGCACAAAAGGAGAGAGTAAAGGACCACGCCTGGACATTAAGTAGAATGGACTTGTCCGAAATCGATGATGGTAAGATACACCCGAAATGTGATAACCAGAGTATGCCGTCGTGGAGTGCGTTTAACTCCTTAATCACGAATGAACAGGTACTTGAGAAGATTGTTAGTTTCCTGCCTGTCCTACCCTACCCGGTAACAGAGTACAAGACAGTGTATACCGCCCTCAAAAACTTTCAGGGTATACTTGGTCAACTTAGGCAGGATAAACTAGCTCTTGCATGTGACGAAGGAGTTTACCACATAGCAAGAGAAATCATGTTGTGGCGCCCAGTTGAATTTCAAAATATTGTTGTGTGTCTCGGATCGTTCCATATGGTCAAGATTTTCCTCGGGTGTATTGGGAAATACTTGCGTGATAGTGGAGCAGAAAGTATTTGGATAGAAAACGGTATCTTTGGCCCTAACGTGACCCAGGCAGTCTTGGGTGGCTCGCATTATGTGCGGTCCTTGGCAGGTATGACATTGCTATCGGAAACAATGGAAAGACTCCAGTGGGAAGCATTCTTTGATGAATTGGGCATAGCAAAGTACCAGGGCCCTCTTGGCATACTGAGGGAAATGAAAGCAAGTGTCTCGGAGAAGGATCGGTTAGAAAGTCAACAGCTGCTTGCCGATTTCGCTACCTCATCAGGTATCCTGTTTGATGACTTCGAGGAGTTCAAACGACAGAAGAGCGAGAGAAGTGAAACATTTAGATACTGGGCTACATTCATTGATATGGTCAATTTGGCAAAGGACCTTGTGCGAGCTGATCGGGAAGGGAATTGGCAACTACACTTGGAAACTGTTGAGGCTATCCTGCCTTACTTCGCGACATTTGACTCGACCAACTACCTTCGCT